GCTTTGCTTTGCCCTCAGTGGGAGAGTCTTTGCCATTCCCCTGCGGTTCCCTACAAGATACTGCATTGTCCGTTTTAATTCTGCCGAGCCTGGTTCTGGGACGAGACCCCTAGTGCCCCCAGTTCATTATATTAGTATCAACTAGCAATCAATGCAGTTATTATTCACCCTGACAAAGGGCTGGGCAACACCACACCCAGCAGGCACCTCATCTGCTGATACGGGAGTGCAACACCCCCTAGCGCCATGAGGGAGAGCGCCCCGATGGAGTCCCCACCCTACTCCCTGCTGCAGAGCACCCTTAGCACCGCACTGGGGCCAGCCCTGACTGCAGGCAGCGCCCCCTGCAGGAGGGAGGACATACTTGGAGACCAGGGCGTAGGCGGCGGCGCAGATGGGCGGGCAGGGCACTAGGCGCAGCGCCACGTGGCCCAGCGCCTCGGGGAAGTGCACACGGGCAACGGCGTCGAAGGTGGCGGCCAGCGTCTGCACGTCAGCCTGCTTGGAGCCCGGCTCGCCCGCACCCTGATCCAGGATGTTCCCGCTGTGCAGGATCAGGAACAGTGCGTGGATTCGGCAGGCCTGCGCCACGCTCTCCACAGAGCCACCCTGCGGAGACACATGCCGTCAGTGGGGGAGGCAGGGACAGGTGCCCGTGGCGGGGGGGGGGTCGTGGCCCTAATGGGGGGGGAGATAATGGTGCCCCTTGGTGCAGGGGAAGACGATTTCCACAGTGGGCACTTGGGAAGTACCTCCCTGAAGGCCAGGTTAGCCAGGTTATGCAGCTCTGGGCTGGGGGCAAAGAGCCCCCACTTGGCCCCACGCAGCTGCCCTCAGCACACTGGACTGTGAGCAGCCAGCTCTGCCCCTCACTGGGGTCGGGGGTGTCTATGCCGGGGGAGGCCATGGCTGGTGATTCCTAGTGGAAAAGGCAAGTGGCATCTGCGTTGCAAGGAGACGGCCAGACCAGATGGGGTAGGGCAGGTGAGACAAGACAGGTGGCAGGGCTGGAGCCAGCGCCAGGTGGGCCGCAGGTGGGGTGGGGGGGCAGGGCCGGGGCCAGGGCAGGGGGCCACACACACCTCGGCAAAGCTGGCCCCAGTCAGTCCATTGTCACTGGGCTTGGCCACACCGGTCCCGTCCCCTGCATAGACAAAGCCCGGGTGAGCGTGCTGGCGTGGGAAGTGCCCTGGGGGCCGGGCCCAGCTGCTGGATACCAACCCCACTACCCTGGGGTGCTGGGTGGGCCACGGGGGCCCCAGCATTGGCCCTGCTGTGCTCTGACCCACTCCCCTGCCTCCCACCCTCTTGCCACCCTCCACCCATGCCACCTGCCACCTTCACACCACTCTGTTCCTCTACACCAGGGGTCGGCAACCTATGGCACGCGTGCCAAAGGCAGCACGCGAGCTGATTTACTGTGGCACGCTGCTGCCAGCCTGGGGTCCCAGCCGCCGGCCCCTGTAAATGTAAAATGTATTCATGGCACATGAAACCTTAAAATACCATGAATAAATGAAGACCACGTCTGAAAGGTTGCCGATCCCTGTTCTACACTATTCCAACCCCCGCCCTCCTGCCTCCCTGCCCACCTGAAGCCCTATCCTCCTGCTGTCCTGTCCCGCAACCCTATCCTGCCCCCCACCCTCCCACTCTCCTGTCCTTTCAGAAGTGATATTTACTCCTTCTCTTAACACAAGAACTAGGAGTCACCCAATGAAATTAATAGACAGCAGGTTTAAAACAAACCTAAGGCAATACTCCTTCACCCAACACACAGTCAATCTGTGGAACTCCTTGCCAGATGTTGTGAAGGCCAAGACTATAACAGGGTTCCAATAAGAACTAGATAAGTTCATGGAGGACAGGTCCATCAATGGCTATTAGCCAGGGTGGGCAGGGATGGTGTCCCTAGCCTCTGTTTGCCAGAAGCTGGGAATGGGCGACAGGGGATGGATCACTTGATGATTCCCTGTTCTGTTCATTTCCTCTGGGGCACCTGGCATTGGCCACTGTCGGAAGACAGGATACTGGGCTAGATGGACCTTTGGTCTGACCCACTATGGCCATTCTTGTGTTTACCCTGCCCCGACCCTCCCCTGACCCATGCTTACCGAGCCCCTCGTCCAGCTCGCCTGGCCGGTCCAGCGTGTCCAGCAAGTCGTTGGAGTTCCACTTGGTCATCTCCTTGGCAAAGACCTCGTCACTGTCAGACAGATCCTCTGGAGGGAAGGGTGGGTCATGAGACTGAGACACTCCTCAAAGAGACACCCCCCAAAAATGAGGGACCCTTGGGAGAGACGCCCATGGAAATTGGAGACTCTGTTTGCACCTGCCCCTGGGAATGGGGGACCCCCCTACACGCACCCCTGGGAATGGGGGACCTCCCAGTAGAGATACCCCCCAGGAATGCAGAACTCCACTTGCACACCTGCCAGTAGGAATAGGGGACGCCCGCAGCAGAGATGCTTTCTGAGAAATGGGGGACACCCTCTAGGCGCACCAACCGCCAGGAATGGGGACCACTCCCCTCCACCCTCCGTACCGTGCGCATCGAAGAATTCCTCCTCTGAGCTGTTCTCTGAGTCCCGTGCGATGTTCTGCATGCGCCACTCTGAGAGACTCTGGGGCGATACCCCCCCTGGGAGAATGGGACAGGGGTCAGATACCAGAGACTGGGGAGCCCTCCCCACAGCTCTCTCACAAGCATCCCACCCCAGCCCCCCTGCCCGAGTGCCACTGTCCCCCAGCACCCCTGCCAGCACCCCACCCCTCCCCCTGAACGCCACAGCCCCCAGCACCCCACCCCTCCCCCCGAGCACCCTGTCCACCAGTGGCCTTGACAGCACCCCCACCCCTCTGCCTGAGCACCTCTGTCCCCCAGTGCCCCTGCCAGCACCCCCACCCCCCCACCCGAGTGCCACTGTCCGCCAGCGTCCCTGCCAGCACCCCCACCCCTCCTGCCCGAGCGCCACTGTCCCCCAGCGTCCCTGCCAGCACCTCCCTTTCCCCCGAGAGTACCTGTCCTCCAGCACCTCTGCCAGCACCACCCTGTCCCCCGAGCGCCCTGGCCCCCAGCACCTCTGCAGACCCCACCCCTCTGCCCCCAGTGCCTCTGACAGCAGCCCCGCCCTGTTCCCTGCAGCCCCGCCCTGTTCCCTGCAGCACTCCTCGCAACCCTCCAGCCAGTGCTCCCATCCCGCTCCATGCCAACGCCTCCACCCCCAGCAGCCCCACCTCCTGCCAGACCTCCCGTCCCGCTCCTGCCCCCGCCAGCTCACTCCCCACATGCCCCCAGCACCCAACCCTGCCCTGCCCCCCTCACCTCCATGCTGGGAGGAATAGGAGGAGCGGGAGGACGTAGACCACTGCTTGGCGAAGGCGTCGTCGGGGGAGGCGTCGGGCGGCCCCTGCCCCTCAGCTCGGTCCTGCCCGTCAGCGCTGCCCAGCTCAGCCCGGCCTTCGGCGCTGGGGGCAGCCGCCGCCTCCTCGGCCTCGGCGCACTTGGCCATCTTCTGGGCCAGCATGCGGGCCGTCTCCTCCTCCAGCTGCCGGATATCCTCCATGGTCAGCTCCGTCCACTCGTCCTGCCAGCACCAGGCCTGGCGGTGTGCCCGCAGCATCACCTTGCGCAGCCCTGTGGGGGGAGGGGCAGGGGAGTGCGGCGCAGCCAGAACACCCCTCCCGTCAGAGCACCCCTCCCACGCCGGCCTCCCCCAGCCAGAGCACCCCTTCCCCCATCACCTCCCCCAGCCAGGGCATCCCTCCTCCACCTCTACCCCGCCAGAGCACCCCACCCCCAGCTTGAGCCAGAGTGACCCAATGTACATGCCAGGGCTCATGCAGCCTCCAAGGGATCAAGGAATTGGGGTCCCCCTGCCAAGGCTCTGCTACATCAGTGTGACCCAGGAGGCTGTGTGAGCAGCTCCCCCTCCCCTGGTTGGGCCCCCCAGCCTCATATCAGAAGGCTGGGGAGTCACTGGGAGCAGCATCAGGGGGTCATGCCAGGTAGGGTGGCAAAGCCAAGGGGTCAGGAGTGGTGCCCGAGGGGCAGTGGTAGGAGGGCCAATGCCAGGGGGTTGGGGAAGGCAGCACCAAGGAAGGGGCAGTGCTGGGTATGGGAGGTAGTGCCACTGGCCTGGAGGCTAAGGGGGGCGGGGGCTGCACCAGGGGGCAGTACCAGGGCAGAGCTATGGGGCAATGCTGCAGGGCGCAGTGCTACGGAGCAGCACCAGCGGCACGGCTAAGGGAGAGCGCTGGTGGGTGGGGGGCAGCGCTATGGGGCAGGGAAGTCGTGGGGGGGACTGGGGCCAGCGCTCACCTACGTCGTGGATGAACTGCTCGATCTTGGACTGCATGCCCCAGTAGCGGAACTCCACCTTGCATAGCTTGTAGGCACACATGAGGGGCCCGGCCGCCATGGCCCCCTCCAGCCACTCGTCGCCCAGCGGCCCCCGGCCTGTCTTCGCCGAGCGATACAGCTTGGGGTCCTCCTCCACCTTGTACTCGTTGGGCGAGATGGGGTCCCGCACAATGTCAATGGTGTCTGGGGGCAGCAGGGAGTCAGCACCCACACACAGCACCTGCCTACCCCAGTGTCAGGGGTCTCACCCGCTGCAGCCCCCCAGGGAGAGGGAAAATACCAGCCCCATTCCCCACAATGCCCTGGGGCCCATTCCCCAATATTTTTGTTGCAGAGCAATGGAACAGGAGGGTTGGAGCAGTGTGTGTGTGTGGGGGGGGGGGCGGTGCACAGAAGGGAGGGAGATTAGTGGGTGGCAGAGTGGGGAGAACTCCCGCCTTCCCAGCACTCTGCCCTCCCTGCCCCACGGCACTCTGGGACAGAGCACACGCGAGCATCAGGGCTGAAGACAACAGCTTCTCCCCACTCCAGCAAACCCCAGATTCAGAAGTAGGGAATGGGAGCTCTCCAGGCTCCAGCCCCTGGGCCCCACCCGCCAGACCTTCCCCAGCACTGAGCTCCCGTACAACTAAGGCACTTGTGAGGCAGGTCTGTGCCCCGTGTCCCAGTACGGAGCACAGCCTGGGCAGGTCACAGGCTCCCTGCCCTGGGGGCCGGCTCTGATCCTCACCGCCTTGGTGGAGCAGCACTGGTGCTGCGCCGGCGCCAGGTGCCCCGAGCGCAAAGGCGCAGACTGGCCCAGCCAGTATCGGGTGTCCCCACAAGCAGTACTTACCCAGAATCCGCTGCCTCTTCTCGGCCGCCGTGAGGTTGAAGACATTGGTCTGTTTGCCGGCGTCGGGCCGGTAATAGGTCTCGATCTCGATGGAGAACTTCTCCACGAAGGGGCAGGTGTATCTGGGAGATGGGAGAGATGGGGGAACAGGGGGGTGAAAATGGGCAGCTTCTGCCCTGCCCCAGCTCTGACCAGCCCCTGCCCCACCCACCTCCCCCTCTGCCTCCCTCTCCCCACATCCCACTCCAGGCCTGCACCAGCCCCACCCCACACACAGCTTCTCCCCTGGTCTTGCCCCGCCCCACCCCACATCCCACTCCCTGGGGCCATCAGTGCAGCATGAGGTGGGGCCCCACAGCGATGCAGGCTGTCCCCTGCTCTGTGCCAGTCCCCTGGCCCTGCAAGGGACTTTGGGGCGGCCCCAGGACAAGTCCTCCCAACAGACCCACACAGCAGGGGCAAGGGGGCAGGGCAAGGAGGCAGGCCCCTGAACACGGCTACCGATGTTCCTCAGCTCCCTGCCCTCCCCCCTGCCTGCCCCTCAGCTGGCCTCACACACCCTGCCCTCCCCCCGCCATGCTGCACCTGGTGCGCGTGTAGGGATAGGCGTTCCACGACTCCTCCTCCACCTGCAGGGCAGCCTTGGGCAACAGGGCACGGAACCAGCTGGGGATGTGGGAGCCCACGTGGTAGATCTTGTGGGTGTACTGGCCGCTGCCTCCCGGGCCGTCGCTGTAGGGCCGGTTGGCCAGAATCTCGACCCCGCTGCCCTCCCCGCTGGATTCCTCCCGGCTCTTCTTCTGGAGGGGAGATACTGACCCATTGGTTCCAGCCTGGGCCCTGGCGCCAGTCCCACCCCAACCGCCCGCCTGGTGCCGACCCTCCCAGACAGACAGACCCAGTCCCTGCTCTGCACCCAGACAGACAGACACCCCGCCCTGCACCCACAGACCCCTCTCCTCACCTGAATCATATAGAGCTGGGCCACCTGGTACTCCTCGAGGCTCATGGGCAGCAGGATGTGATACTCCTTGATGAGCATGGTGACTGGTGGGGCCTGCGGACAGGGGCGAGAAGTTAAAGCTCCATTGCCCCTGCCCCGCACAGACCACCGCCCCAGGGGGCCCTCCCTGCTCCTCTCCTGCCCCAACCCTCCTCCCTCCCTTCTGGCTGCTTGGCCCCAGATGGGGGATGGGGAACCAGAAGCAAATCCCCATGTGACCTGCTTAAAAATCCATCCTGCCTGATGCGTTTCCATGGCAATGCGCAGGGAATGGGGGGGGGGGGCTAGAGGGGCGGGGGTGGCATCTCCACCACCCCCCCACCACACACACACACGCTGTCAGGTCCTCTCGCATACACCCTGCCCAGCCCTGCAATATCAAGGGACAGGTCTGGACTCCTGGGTCCCAATCCAGGCAAGGTTAGGCCCTGTCCAGTTCCAACCCCACAACTGACTGGATGCTACTGGCAGCCCAAGGCTGGTGGGGGGGCTGCTCCCGGAGCCAAGGGAACACAGCAGTGCAGGCACCACAGCCCCATGGCCTGGGCCACCAAACCTGCCCCACACAACTCCCGCCTGGGCCTGGGCCACCAAACCTCCCCACCCAGCCCCTGCTAGAGCCTGGGGCACCAAACCTCCTCCTCACACAGCCCACCTCCGCCTGGGCATAGGGCACTAAACCTCCCGCCCCGCATTCCCCCGACCTGGGCCTGGGGCACTAAACCTGCCACCCCACATTCCCCCGACCTGGGCCTGGGGCACCAAACCTCCTCCCCACATTCCTCCCACCTGGGCCTGGGGCACCAAACCTTCCCCCAGGCCTGGGACACCAAACCTCCTCCCCACATAGCCCACCTCTGCCTGGGCCTAGGGCACCAAACCTCCCGCTCCACATTCCCCCCACCTGGGCCTGGGCACTAACCTCCCCCCATAGCCCCTGCCTGGGCCCAGGGCACTAACCCCTCCCAACTCCTGCCTGGGGCACCAACCCCCCCAAAAAAACCCTGCCTGGGGCACCAAACCTCCCACACACACACACAACCCTCACCTGGGTCCCCAAACCTTCTCCCCCACAACTCATTCCTGGGGCACCAACCTCCTCACAACCCTCATCTGGGTCCGGGGCCCCAAACCTTCCCTCCCACAACCCTTGTGTGGGGCACCAAACCTCCCGCTCCACAACCCTCTCCTGGGCCTAGGGCACCAAACCTTCCCCTGCAGCCCCTGCCTGAGGCACCAAACCTTCCCTTCCCCCCCAACTCCCACCTGAGCCTGGGCACCAAACCTCCCCCGCCCCCCCGACTCCCACCTGGGCCCAGGGCAGCAAACCTCCCCTCCCTCATCAACTCTTGCCTGGACCTGGGCCACCAAACCTCCCCCACTCAGTCCCTGCATGATCCAGGGGCACCAAACCTCCTCCCACAGACCCTGCCTGGGCCTGGGGCACCAAACCTCACACACATACACACACACACACACCTCCCCCTCCGCCTGGGGC